TTTTTTCTAGATATATTTTTCATAAGTATTTTTAAAAGTATTTTTTTAGTTTTTACTAAATAGGTTAACTTATTTATTATAACCTTTTTAACTACTTTCTTAACTATAAATAATAGTATAATTAACTTATAAACTCTAGCTTACTTTTTTTTTCTTCTTCTTTAGTTTCTAGAGTACTACTATTTTAGCTCTCTTAAACTAAGCTAGGAAGTACTAAAGTATAAAGCTTACTTTATTTATTACTACTAAAGCTAGGTAGAATAGTTTCTTATATTTCCTAAGAAAGCTATTTACTAGTTAGTTAAAGCCTTTAGCCTTTTATAAAGTAAATCTTATAGCTTTAGCTATATTAACCTTTATTACTTCTCAGGTAAGGTAGTATTAGATAGAAAAGCTATTCTAGTTGAATTACTAATTAGATATACTAGTATAATTTATAGTTACGATTAGAAAGAATTTCTTTAAGAGAATCCTAGCTTTACTAATATATATATTACATATAGTTAACTATTTAGTATAAAAACTATTTTAAATTTTAAACTAACATAAGATAATTGAAAAGCTAAATAGTTTTTAATTTATAACTATTTAAATAAATAATAGCCTTAAGACTATTTATAAGTATAATAGTTTAATTAATAATTATTTAAATATAAAATAGTTTTAAGACTATTTTACTTATACATAGTCTTAGATTATAACTGTTTTATATTTAGATAGTTTAGTTTATAAATAGTCTTGGAATTATTTTCGAATAGTCCTCGAACGCTTTTTAGACACTCCCGGGACGCTCCTAGACGCTCCTGGGACGCTCCCGGATAGTCCTAGGACGGTACGGAAAAGTGCCCTATAGAGCCGTATATAGGGCGCAGAGCCGTAGCGCACGGGCTATATCACGTACTCGGTACTACTCCTATACGCTTAACCCTAACGCTATAAAAATATAAGTATTAAATTTAGTTAATTTAGCGAAATTTAACGGGCGCGTATTATAGGCGGCTTAACGTATAATATTAGTGGCGGGCGTTAAGGGGTTAGGTGCCGCGCGTATAGTATATACTCGTAGGCGTCCTGTGTATACCTGGTAGTAGGATTTAGGACGGGTTTAGGACGGTCCGGGAACGCTCGCGGAACGCTTTCAGAATAGTCTTAGAACGCTTTTATAGATAGGAAACTATTCTTAACTATCTTATTAATATAACTATCTAGTATTTAAAAACTCTCTTTATATACAAACTACCCTCCTATTACCTAGCGGTTTTTTTCCTATGACTAGATTCTATATAAGATACTCTAGTAAGAGTCTCTAGATAGTCTAAAAAACTCCGCTTTCCCCTCTAAGGTAATTTTAATATCCCTATATATTTTAGACCTCGCGCTATAAGGCTATATACTCACGAGGTTTAGCCGAGCTAGCGGGTAGAGGTAGCGGGCGGTGTACTTCGTAGCCGGGACTAAGGCGACGCTAGGACCTAGCGCGGGCGCCGTCGGTGCACAGGCTACCCGATTATCCCACCTTTACGTACTCGATAACCCTTCATTCGAAGTACTCGACTACCCTCCCTTCGAAGTACTCGATTACCCTCTCTTCGAAGTACTCGACTACCCCTCCCTCCCCTCGAAGTACTCGACTACCCTCTCTTCGAAGTACTCGACAGCCCTCCCTTTAAAGCACTCGACAGCCCTCCCTTCGAAGCGCTCGACTACCCTCCCTTCGAAGTACTCGATTTAATGAAATATAGTAAATAAGAAGCTAGTTAAGTACTTAATTATTCTACTATAGATATAGCTAGTTTATATATATCTAGCTAATAAAGAGTCTTTAATAGAGTAGATATAATATAGTAAAATAGATTATATAACTTTAATAGCTCTTATAATCTATATTATAAAAAGTAAAACTATTCTAAGATTCTTAATTCTAGTATATCTTTAAATTTATATAACGCTTTTTATAAAAGAGTTTTTATAAGACTATTAGTAGCTATATAGTTTATAAGGATATATTTATATATAATTATACTAAATTTTATTTATTCTTACTATTATTAATATTAGATTCTAATATATTTTATTTAGAGTATATAATAAGGGTTTTTAGTTAGTATAATAGCCCTTTAGTTACTAGTAAATATAAGTATAAGTTTATTATTTATTTAAATACTAAGTTTCTAAATTAATTATTAAAGCTAAATAGCTTCTTTTCTAGCTAAAGTTTAACTAAATAACTTAGCTGTATAAGTTAATAAAGCTATAGTAGCTTATTATTTTAAGCTTTATAATATAGCTCTACTTTTAAGATTAAATAAGTATCTTGATATTAATTAGTTAGTATTTTTATTACTTACTTAGTTAATATTTATATATTTTTATGTTTTATATACTATTTTTTCCAAAAATAAAAATAAAAATAAATATACTTTTAAAATACTTATTTATATATTTTTATTACTTAGTAAGGATAATAGCTAAGTATTAAAACTAAATATATTATATTTAGATATATTTCTAGTATTATATATATAATACTACTAATTTTTTATTAGTATTTAATAATCATTTCTAGTTTTATATCTAATCTAGAGAGAGCTAGCTTAGAGTAATAGTTTAGATCTTTTAATAGAATAAATAAATTATAATTACTTATACTAAACTAATCTAATACTTACTTATATCTCTTAGTTTAATTAAATAATTTTATTTTTCTAATCTTAAGTTATTATAATTCTTAGGTAGTATAATATAAGTATTATATCTATTATATTAAAGTATTATATAAGTAAAGCTTTTAATATAAATATATATTTTAAGTTAGGTCTTATTATTAGTATATTATTAATATATATAGTAAAGAGTATTCGATTATTTTTAAAGATACTAGTAAATTATTTTATATATATCTCTTCTTTAACTTTACTATATAAAAAAGTAGTTTTTATATTTATTTAAGTTACCTATAATTCTATAAAGTTTTTTTATTTAGACGACTATATTAACTACTAAGAATCTACCTTATTAGATAGAACTACTTATAACTAGTATATTTCCCGCTTATATTTATAGTTTTATATCTAACCTTTATATAGATACTTTAATATATTAGATAGAACCTTTTATTATAGGAGATATTTTAGCTAGATTTATAAAACCTAGTAATAAAAGGTTCGAAGTCGAAAATCCTAATAATAAAGAGTATTATAAGTTTATTTATATTTATATAGAACTTTATAGCCTATTTTCTAATATTTCTATAAATATATATAACCCGATATTACCCGAATATAGTAATATTAATCTAGACTATAAATCTCTAACTCCCTCTAATACTACTTACCCTATTAATAATAAAGATAACCCTATAGAAGATAAACCTATATAATAATAACCCGCTTAATAAACTTAGAATAGTACTATAGTTATCCTAGGTTTACTTATAACTACGTCCTATATAATAAGAGTCTTTTATAATCGTGTTTAGGTTAGAATTTATCTTAACCCTTAGCCGCTAGGTTATATAGCCGATTTTCCCCCCGGCCCTCTACCCCCGAACCGACCCTACCCTACCCCGGTAACCCCTAGCTAATTATAGCCTACCCCCCGAAATAGCTATCTAGCGTCTAAGGGAAAATAGGGATTATTTAGATAATAGGCTCTAAATTAACCTTCGAAAAGCGACTATATATAACCTTTATTTCTATACGCTAGTTTATATCTACTATAATACCGATGATTATAATTTTAAATATAAATTAAAGCCCTTTAATTAAAGTATCTAATAATATATACTATATATTAATAGCTTATAAGCTAGCTCTAATATAAGCTTACAAAGTCGGTAGGATATATAGACTAGGTAGGGTATATACGGCTCGGTGTCACGAATCACGTGCTCACGTGATACTTGTCAAAATAAAGAGGTGCAACCCTCGATAGGCACATCCAGGTTTCTTATAGCAAATAGGGATGCTTAGACTAGCTAAGCGATCCAGGGATTTCCTTCGTATCTTATCACGTGACTAGTTGGATCGACTGGACCGACCAGCGGTCCTGGCAAAGTACAGGAAAGTGAAGGGTCTATATAAGACTGGCACGTCTGCCATTAGATAGGAGCTTCGTGCTCAACTTAGTTATCAATCTTATCATATTAGTTTGACATCTTTGATACAAGTAACGAGTTCACTTCCAAGTGAACAACCCGATAGTCTTCTTCTTATCATAGCATACCAACCAGCGAACACCCAGCCAAGTTTAGTTAGCCAGTTTGAGTATTCGTTACAAAAGGAGTACTTTAATATAAGAGCTCTCCTATACTATAGGTCCTTTCTAAATAAGACTAGCGTCTTCCTAATAAGGCTAGCGTAGCTTATATAGATCCGTGTAAAAAGCATGAGGAGAGTTTCGCTAAAGTAAGAGTTATATACTAAATAACAAAGGGGGTGAACTCTAGTACTTGTCACGGATGCCAACAAAGGATAAAGTGTATACAGCTTTTGAATCAATTGCTAGAACTAAAACCGTAGGTACGAAGAAATCAAACTAAAGAGAGAAGAGAATCTGAAAGGAGCGAAGTTATTTAAGTTGTTCCAATGCCAAGTGTCGTCACGTGCTTGGCCAAGCGAACGAAATCCTGTCAAATGAAATCCAGCTCCGTCACAGTACTCTAGTACGTTCCGTAATACTACGAATAGAGTTTGCTCGGTACTTAGCTCTATACGTAGACAAACTCTTAGATAACTAAATATAGTCTATATAATATACTATTCGACGATATTACGGCTTAATATTATCGTTGAAAACAGGCCTTAAATAAGCCTTTATAAGGCTAAGGAAAAAGGGGGGGTTAGTCTTAATCGCGGAATAAATAAGAATTCTAACTCTCTATTACTTTTAGGATTAACTCCTATAATATATAAAATGTATCTATAAACAGTTCCTAATAAACAGGTATAAGAAATAAATATCTAACTAATTCTTGTTATACTATCAAAGTATTCTAGTAATTAAGCTTTGCTTAACTTTCTGTCCGCTACACCTGTCTCCTGCGGCCGTTTACCAAAGTTAACAGATCGCTCCTCGTCCGAATTATCATGAAAAGTAGTATATTCTGTGACCACGTGAATATTGTTATCACTAGACTTCTTAACAATATACTCCTGACTTGCCGAACTCCTCGTAAGCTTACTAGCACCCATCTTGTTTGCCGCCGTAGATAGTTCGTAGTACTGTCTGTTATTTCCTAACGCTGCTTCGTCGGCATGTACTGTTGTAGTATTACCGGTGCGTGTCGTATTGCTCTTGAAACGAGATTGACTTCTTCCGACTTTGTATCCTCCATGTGATCCAGTGCTTTTCTCAGAAGACTTGTTAATCCACTTATAAGAATTGAAGAGAGGCTTAATTCCAGGCGCGGTTACAGTCAATACTGTCACAAAGGTTTCGCGAAGAGCCCACTGAGAAGCAACGGGTAAGTGATCGATGCTTCCGATCGAAAAAATCACTCGAAGTACAACTGTGACGATGACGAATATACCAGATGAGAAGAGTACCATAAGTACCAACTTGCGGCGAATTGGAATTTGGGCATTCCAAAGGATAGGCAAGGTGATGGCGAGAACCCCAATGTCGGATCTTTAGCAGAGAGTTTGTTAGTATCCACAACCTTGTTATACAGAAGGAAAATAATACGTATAAGAAAAAGGCACGTACAGGATGTTTAAAATGCCCACGAGGAGGTGGTTTGGCTTGCGTAGTACACATTCGTCTTAACATAATTAGATTATATCCTTCAAAATACCACTGTCATAGGGAACTTACCTCCCGGGTAGGGAATTACCTGCCAAGCTCTTTTGATTGGCACACATACTGCGAAGTGTGCTATAATACATGTAGCCCAGGCGAAAACACAGAAAATCGAAACTGCCTTAGCAATCTTGTGCTGCCACAGTCCCAGTCTACAATACACATGTAGTTAGTAAGCGAGTCAAAGTGACGCCAAATTAGATCACCTACGTAAGTCTTGTATATAAAACCAGCAGGACTGCCTTCAGACACCAGGTGAGTGAGATGTAGCATATCCAGGCTGTGAATAATCCCTTTGCGCCAATTTCAAAGTCATGCTGAGTTTTTACCGGGAGGAAGAGAGCGCTTTCTGGTGTCAAACCAACTGTGCTTCCCTTCGTAGCTACATAGATTGAATAAGCACAGGAACTGCCACCTCAAATCAGAAAACTCTTACCGTATGCATGCGTTAGACCCGCATCAAGAGTGAACAAAAGCTGGATGATGAACATTAGCCTACGGCGAGGCTAAACATACGTGATGTACTGACCAGACCAATGACACAAAACATATCGTCAAAAGCAAATTTCCGGAATCCTACAGTATTCCACCGGGCAAAAAATCGCAATGCAAAAAATGCCACTCCAACACCATATTCAACCCATAGTTCCGTCAAAAAGGGGTCGGGCATTCTGAAGGTAGATTCTTTATTAAAAAAAAAATGACAAGGTGGAAAAAGATCGTGGTCAACAAACAGAGCCTTCGATGGAGACCAGAGACATTTAAAGAGCTACCTTACGATCAACAAGAAATGAAGATGGAGACTTTTTGCACTGAAAGGGTTTTTTCAGTCCATTTAAAACAGCCAGACATGAGAAGATGGAAGTGATCATCACAACTGTGACAATTGAAAGCATGGAAGTCTCGCGATCTACTCTCGCGCACCCCGTACCGCAATTCTTCTATCCGCCCCCATGGTTTCTAACGTAGCACTGGACGGCATTTGAGATTGTTTTGCCAGGGCTCCTTACAAGTTCCGGGCAGAAGATTGGGTAACCAGTCATAATGCATCCGAGTACTAGAGAGGGGAGTGTCTCATCTTGATAGGGACTTTGAACAAGGAGAGATCGGCAACCTTAAGCATAGAAATCCACGCCGGAAACATTCCCCACTAGTACCTGTATTTGATCGAGTACGGTACTCCCCCAGGAAGTCCATCGAATATATGTGAGTATACGAATCCCGGTTAACTGGAAGTCGTGCAAACCCATTTCCTGAGGTGGCTCAAACGAGCTATCATGTACTACCTGGTCCTGTCATAGACTACCCATATACTCGAGTACGGTATCTGCTCTGGCCAACAGAGTGATTGTAATGAATTAGCAATTATCATGGACCACCAGGGCAATGCACGTATACGTATGTAAATGACCCCCACGACCTCCTCACTAAACCCACCCGGAATGGTTGACTAGTTTTCCGCGGCTCTGTGGGTGAGAGGCACCAGTGCGGGTCAGGCCCGTCGCTTAAATTCCCCGCCGCCCCACAACCGTACTTACCTGGTATATACCCGCTCGACCCGTACCGTCGAGATCGCCATCCACACCAAGAGAAACGAACCACATCCCTGTTTTGGAACCCCAATGAAAAGCACGAGGATAACCATATCCTCAAAGCACTCGTCAAAGAAGGAGCTTAGATTGTTCTAGATGTTCTTCTCTATTTTTCCCCCTTAACTAAAACCCTGAAAGATTACATTGAAGTCGAGAGATTATGGCACACTGCCTGTGGGAATCAAAAAGAATTACACTTTCTATACACGAAGGATGTCGTTGGGCAATCTATATGATTTATCTGGTTCTTGTCGGCTTTTCCCCTGAGGACGTTTCGATACTGTGATGCTCTATGTTCTTCTGCAGGACTATTACTCCAGACTTTGCAGTACCCAAATCTTCAGGAGTTACACTGAAATTTTCAAGAAGTCGCTTATTATTTTCCAGGGTCATCCATCTGCAAAGCAGTATTCACTTTACGTGATTACTGGCAAATCTCCTACTGTGCGAAGACCAATGATTTACATATCTGGACTAGGAGAAATTAGCTCTTGCATGTGTAAAAAACATACCTATCTACCCCAAAAATGTATCTTTGTTTGATGGAAAGAGGGACGTAGTATCACAACATAGTCTCAACGCTTTCTTAAACACCAGCAAGCTGCTACAATCGCCTATCCCATTGTAGCGACCTCTTTACTCGGGTATCCTAAAACAAAAGCTTTGGGAATTTCCGGTCAGATTGTGCATCCAAGCTTGTGTAATCTCTTTCGTTGTTTCTCACGCTCTGGGATCAAATGTGCTTTCTCATTCTACCTAATTGTGAGAGAGACATGACTAGTGAGTAGATGACCATAGTCTTTCATGCACAGCGCAGCAACTAAGCCAACCATTAAAGCATTCATATGCTGGGCAGTACAGGGAACAAATCATGTCGAAAATTATTAGTAGCGGGGTTTCTTGTAGGAAAGAAACACTTACCACTAATGAAGTCAATGATACTGGCAAGTATGAGGAACAATCTTCTTCAAAATTTGTCGGATGTTCTGCCGAACAAGCAGATGGACATTGCTCTATTCATTGAACGTATCATAGAAAACAAACTAGAGTTATCGCAGAGGACTTATGAATTGCGAGCTTCTCCCAATATCTGCTTTGGAATATACCTTTACCTATATTGATTGATTTAAGTCAAGATGGCTGCTGGGGGAGATAATCTCCAGTAACTGGCTGCTGTTGCCAAAGAAACCGAAGCAATACGACCTATAAGCTATTTGCTCATAGAATACAACCATCCAAGACGGGACTAGCCACTCAAAGTTGCATTTTAGTGTACAATATCTTCCAATTGTGCCCCACTGGCATATTTGAGTTCTGATCTTCTCAGGTAAGACACCTGAGGCTCTTCTTGCTTTTACATTCCGAGAAGACGTGGATCAAAAATTGCGATGGGTACCGCGTGGAATTGATTGGTACTTTGATATTATTATAGTACTGTAGCTGAATTGTCGAATCACTTGATATCTTTTGCTCAAGACCTCTTCTCCACGCATTCTGCATATGTAGTGTCAACAAGTAGCTATCTTCACCTCCATTGGGAAAGATAACGGCAGACATTCCACCCAAAGCCGGACGAGGCAGGAGGCTCGCCAGATCCTTCCAAAGATGAGTTCAGTATTACGTACCGAATTGGCGGCCATGAAAATGGTCCTATCACAATTTGGGCTTCAGAGGCTTGGTATATGACAAACCTTGACACCTTTAACTGCTGTGATTGTTCTCCTATCTTCTTCTCACATCCGCTAACCGCAGCGAGGCGGTGTGCCATCGATAACGATTTTACTTCGCATAGCAGCCCTTTGATGCATGAAATAGATATTTTGGGGCTTGACATAGATAGGAAATTATAGAATTTTTCAGCTATACCTACCTAGATAATCGTGTGTTCATGGGACTTTACCTTTTTATTCCTTCCACAAATCGGCTTACCATTCACTGGCGCTATTTGTGATGATTTCAGTACCAGCACTTAACAGAACATCAATTTCTCTCCTTTACAGGACAATCTCTTGATTGTTTACTTAAATGTGGAGTATGGTGGTCGGATTTCGGCGCATGGATGGGGTATTCTGCCGTCCCCAGGCATCTGCAACGCAGGGCTCGGCTAAGTTCCTCATCCCCTGAACGTCCAACAGTGCTCCACATCCTGAATCCATAAAAGGGTCTATAGCTGCAGATCCTACTAAAGTTTTGTCGAGGCCCGCAATTCGATGGCCACCCAAATTTACACACGCTTCATGAAGTGGTGAATGCAGGATGAATCCAACTGAGTCGGAAAATTTGCCAAATCTCCACGACGAGATGTGTGGCATGATCGGTGTGATGTGGATTGCATATGGAGTGTGGAGAGAATGAATTTGAAACTAGCCCCATTCTGCGAAGTAGCTTCTTTTGACGTGATAAGCGGTATCAGTCTTCACGGGGGGGGCGAGGGGGTGAACCACTGATGATGCATCTCATCGCGTTGTCTGATTGTCGTCGGATATAATTGAGGCGAGTTCCCTTACTTTCAATTACAATTACATTCCCAAGATTTCATCAATTTCAGGAAAATCATAACAAAGCAAAGAATTTGGAAAATGACTTCAAGTCTTCCCATCAGGCAGAGTGGACCAAAGTATGGCGTCGACAAATCACAAGCCAAATATGACAGAGCAGTTGAGATTATAAAAGAGAGACTCCCAACCATGGGTTCTCTCAAAGGACTTCTTGTGGTAAATTTAGGAGGTGGACGTCCAGATATTATCATCGATGCCCGTGGCGAGCCAAAGCTCTTGGAAAAAACAGATGAGGAGCCTGATACCAAAGTCAACACAAAGTCAGACTACATTATTCAGTTCTATAATGGCGCACTTGAACCACGTTACGGGTATCTCAACTCCAAACTCCAAAATAGAATACAGTGAAGGCTAACAGATTGCTCTCGCAGTCTATTCAAGGACGCTTTCTTCCACGAAGCCTCGTTGCCACAAGGAAATCTTCGGATTGCCATCAAATTTGCCGACGCTCTTTGTCCAGTGAACCCAAGTCCCCCCAAGCATTACGATGGAACAGAGAGGCTCCCAAAGCCAACTGAAGACCTTGAACAGGTCAAGAGCGATGTCAGAGAATTTGGATATGGTCTTGTGAAGAATGCACTCACTCCGGAAGAGGTGGAGAAGTTGAGCTCAGCTCTCAAGCAGCAGGCCGCCGGGGAAACAAAAGCTGGAGTGTCTAGCACCGATGGTGGACCAAACGCTCCTAACCAGCGTATTTGGACTCTCATCAATAAAGGACAGGAGTTCGTCGACCTGCTTGAGCACCCCCTTATCGAAGAAATTGTTCCCGAGATTCTCGGCGAGCAGGCTATCATCAACAGCTACACTGCCAACATTGCACGTCCTGGTAATGTTCCAATGCAACTACATACCGATCAAGTCGCGATTCAACCACCGATTCGGGACATCCCATTCGGACTGAACATAATGTGGTTTCTCACGGATGTAACAAAGGAGAATGGCGGCACACGTGTTTTCCCAGGCTCTCATATTGGTCCAATTGCGCCTGACGATATTTTTGACCTCGAGGGCTCCGTTGCAGCCGAAGGTCCAGCAGGTACCGCTCTCGTTTTCGAGAGTAGAATCTGGCATGCCACCGGACCAAATCGAGAGACTTCTGGCGAGCGACCAGTCATTATGGCGTTCTTTTTCAGGTCATTTCTTCGACAGCAAGAGAACAACTTCTTGTCTATCAGAAAGGAAGTGGAGGAGAATCTCTCGGACAAGGTCAAAGCGCTTCTTGGGTATCGAACTACTGGTGCTTTAGGAGGTGTTGAAGGAGAGGTTCGGGAGGGAATTTTCGTCATGAAGGTTGCGAATCCAATTGGGCCTTTCCGCGATGCATAGATAATTTAGGAACATAAATATTCTGAATATAAATCAGGAAGCCCCATGAAACAATTTAGCCGATTGTCCCGATTCATTTTGTACATCAGTGGTTGACTTGTTTCTAAAAGAATCCAGGAGATAGCAAATAATAAGGGATTGGTATCCGTAACTGATCGTCAGTGGTACCATATATGTGTAGAAATTGGATTTGAAAATACCCCCGATTCCGTCTAGACTATTGTTATGTAAGACATTGCCAGAACCCAGTGAATCGTTTTATCGACATCAAAGCGCAGAGTTCTAAGGCGAAGAGCGAGGTCCTTTTAGTACGGCTCTTTTATCCAGGATTCTTTCGGAACCTGCGTGTGAAAACCTATTTCACATTATTCCAAGATTAACCACACAATTGCTACTAACACCAGGTAATAAACCCGACGAAAAACAGTATTTTGTTGCTGAAACACTATCGCTGTATTTTGGGCCAACTTGTTGGTCTAGAGACGCATTGGGAAGGGTTTGTACGTGGAAATCGTGTATATAATCTGCCGCTAGAGGGCGTTTAATACGACAAGCGAGTAAATGTGGATTGTTCGCATTCTATTCAGACTTGCTACGAGAGGAATTCAAGCTCGAAATTACCTGAGGGGTTTCTTTCTACTGAGACGTTACACATGGCGTTAATATGCTTCATACCTTGTACAGCACAGCAAAACAGAGAATGTGTAGAGCGCATAACTACCTTCCATGCTTATACAAGGTAAAATTGGCGGAGGACCGGTTGGAATTGAGAACCCTCCTCGATTCCGCGCATGCTTTGTTCGTCACCCTTGATCAGGAGGTTGAGAGCCTTCACCTTCAAAACCGAAAACTGCTTTTGTTGCATGCCACTCATCGGTATATGGAAGCCTTCTGACTTTCGGTTAGTGCTCAAGCTCTCCCGTAAACCTTCATCAATGTTCAGACCCATCAAAGACCCCTCCAAAGACCCATCTTGGCTAACTATTGCTTTTTCATTTCCAATCTCAATTGGTCGATATTTTGCGTAGTGTGTGTTGGTCGAGAGTATATCACGTCTTCGCGAAGGATGGCCTGCCAGTGATCCAACGAAGCTTGGTATTTAGCTAGCCCCATCTTGAAAAGACACACGGTCAAATACACATGTGTCCTTCTATTGAATCGTTCCTGCCCAAACTCAAAAGCTCCACCGTCCATGAGTCCATGTGCATAGCAGTCCCCTATCACCTCGAAACATTGTCGATTGGAGTCACCAATGCATTGTATTCCCCTTAAAACCTTGCGAAAAACGGCTTTGCAAAGAATAAAAGAGGGTTTGCCACCGCGGAGGATATACACCTCGTCACCAAGTTGGGTTTTCAACGGGCCCAATCCAATATACCCCTTGCGTGTGATAAAAAGGTACGTCGGACTGTTGCCGTTAGTATAGCGTTTTGAGATTCCCGGCAAAGTTGGCACAGAAAAATTTGGAAGTTCAACGGTTCCATCAGGACGAGCACGCCCAAACAGGTGTATCTCGGGTTGGTGCATGTGTTCAGCCTCGATATCCAATTGCCCATCGATGAATCAAACACGATTCTTTGGTCCTAAGGCGGCGAGTTTCGATTTCCCCGGCATGAGCAGTCGAAGGGACCATGTCAGCATATATAGTCCTTACGAAGGCATCCGCCAAACCTTTTTACCTTCTTCATAGCGGGCTGAGCATCTAACGAAGTGTTTAGACACTACCTCTGCCCACGAACGGATTGCAGATCGAACGGATCTTTCAGAGAAAATCATATCCCCAGTAACGAGAATATCGTCATGAAACATATATCGTAGCTGCATGACTTTGTTTCCATGAATCTGCAAAACCTCACCGCCTCCGCAGTCAGTATAGTAGTTGTTGGCTGCCGAATTGCATTCTTTTTGGGACGGCGTAGCATCACGTCGACGAATGTCTTTCGGTAGCCATTGATACCAAACACTGTTCCCGACACGATTCATTATAGCGTCAAGGAGATTGGGACTCGGGAGATCGGAGGCTCCTTAGTCCAACAGGTCCTCCTCCCCCTCCCCCCTCCCCCCTCTTAACGCTGAGGTGCATTGCGCCTGCCGCCTTGTATATTTCCGTGTTGTCGGCTCGACGGCGATCCAAGTCATCGTATGTGGCACTCCAATCCAGAACCCACGACGGAAGATCTTGACGGTTCTTTCTTCCAATGTTTCCAGCAAACACCACGGGTGACCCAGTGTTCTCAATTATATCCAGCGTCGTAGCCTGAAAACCCCTCGACACACTCAGAGAGTAATCCAGAACGAGGAACGCTTGATTTCGGGCCAAATTGAGGAGAGCGTACACCTTATCCCGATCATCACTTGCCTTTCGGTCACTGAACCGCCTCAGCAATGACAATAATCTGGTGGGCTCACTAGATAAGACATTCCGTTCCATATGGTCGGCCCACGACGATCGCATACGTTCCAGGTCGAGAACGATGCAGGAAAAGTGCTCCATGACTGTCGAGTACTCGGCTAAGAACGTCGACGGCGATCAGGAGCTTTGGTTCCTCGATTCCCAGTTCGCAGCCTCAACAAACATTTCCCATGGTGCAACTGCTGCCCCATAAACCATGGTAACCTTTTTAGGGACAACCATCTCTTGTATCACCCAGGTCCTCTTCCACCGCCAGCAACGCATCATTTGTCTCAGCCCCTCAAAAAGCTTCTTCTGATATCTGTGTTCAATAAAGCTTTCAGAGTTTACATCGAAACCAGACAGTTTGTTCGACGCAGGCTCTTCAGCTAGAGTTCGTAAAATACAGAAGGTTTCAACAGCCAAGTCAATCCTTATTCTTTTCCCGTTGCGCCGCTTTCCTGGACAGCAAGATTGGAATAATGCGAGCTTTGCGTGGTCTTCATCACTGGATTGGAAAATTGTCGTCGAGGCAGACATTGGACTGCCCGAGGCTGTGAAATAATGAGGTGATAATTCTCCGAGACAAACAATGACTTCTTTGGCGCCAGAATATATATCATGCATGAGTCTGACTCGCTCAGTTTTTTCTGAGATATCAGACTGGTTGATAGACAGAGAATCCACGCATATGTCCATACATGCATCGACCTTTCGCAGCCTTCTGAGTGCGGATTCGAGATTTACGGTCACCTGGTGTTCAAAGCCATTAACAAGAATTGGTAATGTTGCCCGTGGAGAGCCCCAAGCGCAAGACACCGCCTTGTATACAGGTTGATTTGCGAGATATGCATGCTTCACCTGACACTGAATTCCGTCCGACCATTTTCCTGGAGGTAGCCTGGCTAGGCGAATTTCATGAGAGTGAAGGTCGTGGTATACATCAAAGTGTTTGTTGTAGATGGAAGGTTCTGCCTCACGTTGGCTTCGGGGAGACGTAATGCTGTGGCATTGGAACACAACGAGGAAATGGAAGGGGGAGAGGGGAAGAGGGGAAGGGGGGCGCACAGCTTAACCATGGTTCTCAACGCATATGAAGCTTATAAGCGATGGCATAGCCTCAGCGTGACCCTACAGCGACGTATGCTCGGTACGATAAGCACAATGCATATGAAGGATGTAGCTAATATAAGTCGAGACACAGCCTCTGTATACGCTGCAGCTACTCGAGTACATATGGATACATCTGGGTGACGAAACACGTGCACCTGTACAGTAGGCAGTAACCCTATGGGGTCACACGTATATTTTCCCATTTTTTCTCTCACAATGATACATATCAAAGTTTTACGAACTCTGTCAAAAAGCGTTTGAAATTTCAGGGATCGCCGCTTCAATCAGACGCGAACCATTTAAGACCATGGCCAAGCCAGAAGAGGACTATGTCGCAATCACTTCGCTTCTCAAATATCTGGCTGAAGGAGATTCACCAATAAATGAAACAATCGAGGCTGTAGCTCTACTCTACCAAGGAAAACTCTCTCCAGTCCAAGCCGCCAGTCTTTTGACACTTTTGAATGCCACCGGGCTAGATCAGGACCCAAATGTTATCGCTCAGTGTGCAGCTAACATGCGAAAAACTGGGCTACAGATTGACTACAAAAGAATCACGGCCAGAATGAACACACCAAAAGCAGAGAAAATAGGAGGCTCGTACCTGGGAGGCTATTGTACAATAGAGGGAACTGGGGGTGACGGACATTCGACATTCAATGTTTCTACTGCTGCATCTATTGTGGCATCAGCGGAAGTATTTGTTGCAAAACACGGGGCGGGGGCTTCATCTAGCAAATCCGGAGCTGCTGACCTCCTCCGAGCTACCACATACCCTTCTCTGATCTTAGAGGCTGTCACCCCCGATTCGATTTCGACATTTTTCGAGAATGGGAGCTTTACGTTTCTGTTCGCTCCTGTTTTCCACCCTGGACTCAAGCAGGTCACTTTAATTAGAAAGCAACTGGGCTTCAAGACCATCTTCAATATCCTTGGGCCGCTCACCCACCCCTTGAACTCAATTTTAGAAGCCCGGGTTGTGGGTGTAGCTCAGAGGCGTCTGGGTCCCATTTATGCCGAAGCACTCAAAATCTCTGGAGTGCGGAACGCTCTCATCGTTTGCGGCGCCGAGGAATTAGATGAGATTAGTTGTGCAGGGCCAACGTTTTGCGTAAGCATCCCTTTTCTTGTCGCCTGTTCGATGATCGAGCGATCTTCCTGGGTCTATTATGTATTATTTGACAATGAAGTATTCTGATATCACGCAGTGGAGATTGTCCGCAGAAAATGATGATAACGTCGTTCGCATTGATTGCTTTCAGTTGGAGCCGGCAGACTTTGGACTTCCTACCCACGATTTAGATGAAGTCCCTATGGGAAAGTCTCCTGATGAAAATGCCGAGATTTTGATGCAGTTATTATCAAACCAACTCGCAAAGGATAGTCCTACCCTACATTTCGTCTTGATGAATGCAGCAGCTCTTTTAGTTGTCTCCGGCATATGCGATGGTGAAACGGGGGGCATTGTCAAAGAAATTGGCCCTGGTCGTGGTCGTTGGAAGGAAGGCGTCAGAAGAGCACGGAAGGGGCTGGAGGATGGTAAATCACTGGAGTCTTTCAATCAGTTCATCACTAGTGTACGTAGAAATGCTGTGTGATACTTCGTTGGAGAGTTTTGTGAAGGAAGATTGGTGAACTTATAGAGGGAAGCTTTCAGTATGCTTTAGATCAACTTGCTAGGTTGGTGCCAAGAATTATCGACCGCAGGAAGTTTTAGATTGAGATCTACAGAGAAAAACCATGAAGCTGAAACTGTGAGGTTGGATCGAGTCATTGCTCTCTAATCACCAACAATTCACATTGATCCGAGTCTCCTTGAAAACTTGGAGGGTTTGCTTTGGAAGGCCTAGAAACTCTACGACACAGGCTTACTGATTGATTGAAGCCTCGTCAAATAATAATATTTGTTGTCCCCAACTCTTTAATGCAGATGTCGTTAGGCGAGGGATTTCAGAAACGACCAACTGCCGCTCGTATTACTAGCCCATCAAGCTGATAAAGTATTGCAGACAACTCGGCCTTGTATCAAAATTCCCTTAGGCTTAAAAGAGCGTTCAAACTCATAGTATCTATTTGCTGAGGAGCCAGACGCACGGCAAAACTCGGTGAGAATACGATTGCTTCCCGATTAGCTGAATTCAAGTCGAACTTGAAGCTTCTCTGCTAACGGCAGTGGTGTTTTGATTTATTCGTCATGTCAGTGGCCAACCTCACCGACGCACTCTGAAATATCAAGGATAAACGGCCGTTCAAAAGGTAGTAATCCAGGTATACACCTTCGGATCGGCTCGCAGCCATTTGTGTAAAGGGGGGGTTGCCAAGAATTCCTTAGACCAACTAAAATGCTAGAACATAACTTGATGTGTATCGTTTGACAAAACCAGGCTCATAATACGAAGATATATCATGCGTTGCAACCTTCGGAGGAGGCACAGAATAATATTGAGGCACGAATGCCACTACGTAAAGTGTGACTGAGCTAAAGCCAGGATTGGGGTATGTGTTCTTAGCGAATTGTGGCTTCATTACAATGAACTTGAGGTATGACGAGACGCGAATTTCCGGTGGCACAAATAGGAAGGTTACACTCTCTATGCACTGAGATCGAATTCTTGGAACTTTTCTTCTTCTCATGGGCAGTAACTCTCAGTAATTGTTAGAGCAACAGTGCCCAATGAAGCTATAAATGTCAAATGAAAGTCACTAGGGTTTATATAATTGAAGGAAGCTTCTCAGGCTACAAAGGACAGACTAACATGGGTCAATACACTTTGAAGAAATTAAAAGCCTTCAGAATCAAGGTTGCTGATATCCTGGCGAGCGGGGCATGTATTATTGAACATGTAACTACTCCTTTGTGTGACAAAAGTACCTTGGTATGCACGCTGACAACCTTGGCACGTGGTGACAGACAGCTCTCCTTACGTTTGAACAAGAGTGCTCTGAATCGTACTCGAAGAAAGGCACAGCTTTCAACAACATGCTCAAAGGAAAATATTTCCCGCTACAAGATGGGGAGCAGAAAGTCTCCGGTGGATTTCGCTGCCAAGATCCAAACCACTGGCTACATTCCTCTTTTCAAATCCTCATTACTATCCTAGTTGCTTCCCTGACCGGAATCGTCGGATTCTGGGCTGGAAAGAGCATCAATCATCCGGATCCTGCCTCGCTTCTAAGTAACGCTTCCCATCGGTTCAATAAGCTTAATTTGACTTGTGGAAAGCTACTATTGGACAGGATGTCCAAGTTTGGCACCTCAACTCTTCGTTCTCCCGAAGTCCTACGCCTGAAACGGAGGATGCCTGGCAATCCATAATACCAGGCAAGTCAACCTAGATATTCGAGATTTAGACATTGCTCATACATTGAAATAGTTGGACGCGGGTTCGTACGGCACAAAATCACGAATGGAAGAGTGGGAAACATTGCTGTATTCCATCAAATCCATTGCGTTGTAAGCTTTTCTCATTGCGTTACTTGAGAAGATCGACACTGATCGGTTTACAGCACGAAATTCGAGTGGCATACTACACTACCCTCGAGAGGCTCCATAGTGATGATGGCAGGATTAGCGATTTCCTTGAGGATTTGAGCACACTGGAAACCACGAGCCACATTGCGCATTGTTTTGACTACCTGCGACAAGTTCTCATGTGTGCATCGGACACTAATATCGAATATCCCGATGAAGATGGGCGACTCACTGGTTGGGAGCATGAGCGAACCTGCAGGGACTATTCCAGCGTAGTCAAATGGGCAGAAAGGTGGCGAGTTGACAACCGAAGTGAGATACAATAATCCAAAATGAAGTGGTAGTGTGGATGAATTGAAATACACAATATATGGAGTTCCTCATCTACAAATGCCCTTCTTCACCTACCGGGCGCACACAGATAGAGCGATGGGGTCGTCTTTCTTTTTCTTATGCAAACCTGAGCTCGAAGTGAGATGCTCCAAGATACTAGCACCTTCGCCGACATGCGAGCCATGACTTGTTATCCTATATTCCAAGGTATGACGAAAGATGCTCAGTGCGATCCCGAAATTGGTAAAAGGTTAGGTCACGATGGAAACCTTCTCACTTCGAAACTTAGAACAAATTTAATTGGCATTCATGGCCAAGATATGTGTGGAGATATTCCATGCGTTTCAATACAGTATCTCCTGGCGCTGCGATCGAACCCTAACGTCTTTTAGATTCCATGTAAAATTCTGAAAGTTTTGCCCTTCTTCGAAAAAGGGAGGGACACGGCCAATCCATTCGAAGTCATTGCCACAGTATACCCTTTACCCGACTTATCGAAGATAAACTTGAGGGCCAGCTTTTAGAAACCGTTCCCCAGGTGACCAACTTTAGAAAAGAAAAGCCGACTCTGGACAGAATGGAACCAATTTCGCTGCCGGATTCTGTAATATATTCGCGGCTTCGTCTAGTGTTACAGCACGGTCAATCACAAGGAAGTATCTCATGTTTGGTTTCCAATTATGTTTGACTTGAAGTAACTCTCCAATTTTGTTTGACAACAAACACCCTGTAACCAGTTTCTACCCGCCTAGAATGTATATTCAAGGTCATATATTATTACAAAGACGTAGAATTATAATAAATGAGTTCGGGCGAAGGTTAAAGTATATATGAACAGAACTGACACTAGTATTCTAACACTACCCTCACCCCCTCTCAGGTGTTATTATCTATATTCTTCCCACCACAGCTGAAAAAACCACAAGCCCATCCACAAAAAAGCACACAACAACCCCAAGATCCTCTTCAGGTACCTCCAAACGAACCTCTACAAGCCAAAGGTTCACCGTTGAGAAACCAGTATCCCTGATCCAATTTCCAAAACCCAACACCCAAAGAAAATCAATCTCCAGATATCCGAACTAGCAACTACAGCAAGATTTAAAAACCATCCATCTCTACAAAGAAAGGGAATGACAGCAGAGTTTCACCCATCTTCTCTAGGCTTTTTGAACGAGCGGATTTGCAAAAGTTTCCATTGGAGGTATCGAAACCAAAAGATGGTGAGTCGTTATGCTTCTTGTGGATATGGTTAGGTGGACTACCTGGCTGAAGTAGGAGGATCACTTGGATCTCCTAAGTAATGTTGTACAGTGAATGGGAGCGTTGCAAACATAAATTCTCGTTTTGGGGGTGAATCTGGGAAAGAGAAAGTGTGAAGTGAATAAGAGCCTGAGGAGTTCGCTACGTAAAGGAAGTAAAGGAGCGAACAAGGACAACAAAGTAGCAAACAGAAGACAAAAAGCTGGGTCAGGGCGTCTAGAAGAAATGAAGAGATTAGTTGTATGTTGCCTACAAACAATGATGACCTCACCTCGAAACATTTGGTCTTTCAACCCCAGAGTGAATTGATATTCGCATTATACTACAAAAGGCCCACCAATAAAACGCAATACCCCAAAACCTTAAAACCGCTCCCTTAAATTCTCAGGGGCATTTCTAAAAAGGAAAAAGAAAAAAAAAGTCCAAGGGTATCATCATAAACCCACTTATCCTATCAAAACTCCTTTACCATTTCAGTCCATCAAACAAAGTACCTTAACCTTAACAACAACATTTCTCAACCACCCTTTCTCCCCGCACTCATCCCCCCACTTCACAACCCCAGGGAAAACCACACACCGAATTTCCCTCAGAATCAACTCCTCCTCATCCTCGCCTCCAACATCCTCCATTTCTCCACTCTCAAACATGGTCCGTTGGTGTTCCTCTAGGACTGGCATGTTTACCGAAAAGACAGCCTTTTGCGAGCGCAGAAGACGGGAGAGCTCGATGGCGGATATTAGGAGGGTGCGCAAGGAGGAGTCGCGTGATTCAGAGGGCTGAGAATCCGAGACGGAGGAGAGGAGGTCGTTGAGCTTTGTGGTTATGGTTGCTATTAGGGCGTTTGTTTGGGGAGCGAGGAGGGCGGGGGCGGATTTTCGGAGGAGGGAGAGGGTCGTTGAGCGCCATTGGTTTATGGATTCCTCCGGGCCTATGGAATTGAGTTAGTTAAGATATCTCGGGTGTTTGGTAGAGTCTTGCGAACCGTAGTCACGGAGGAAAGATTCCATCTTTTTCAGTTCTTCTGCTCTATCTGGTGGGATACCGACGAAGTAGGATGTGAAGATGTTGTCTACGAGGAGTCGTGAGACTAGTGATTGAATGAAGTGGATCTTTGATGTTGATGCCAGAGTTTCATAATTGGGTAATAATCGTAACAGTTCTTCTTTCTCAGCGAGGTTTGGTTTGTTGATGTCTACGTTACCTATCAGCTGCTTGTACGTACGCAATTGAACCGCCAGAGGCGAGGTTCCAACCTTTACCTAGACTCGGATTTGGCGAGCAGGTTGGATAAAGATGGAAGATAACTCAACCGAATAAAAGACCAGTAGAACGTACCAACCTTAACCCGCCGAAAATTAACAATAACCCAATTTTGCAACCCATTACTTAACCTCCCCCACCCCTCGCCCACACTCTCATCACTAACCTGTTCTTCCCCGCCCCTCCCTCCTTTACTTACCCAACTCTTCAACCCCCTCACCTGATTCCTTAACATACTAACCAACTCCTCCTTCTCCCCAACCTCCTCCATAGCGTCCTCGTACGCCTCACGAAATGCGTCACGATCAACCACCAGCCCCTCAACCCTCATCTTAATCTCGCTATCCCTTTCCCTACTCTGATTCTCCCTCTCCTTCAGGGCTGACCCCTCACTCCTCAAAAGCCTCAACGCCGTATCAGTCTCTATGTACGTCTGATGCAGACTCGTATGTTTCTGCTGCCAAAAAGTCGACGACTCGCGTTCATTCGTCAGTTTATGACTGAGTAACGTGAGTTCCTTCTCAAACCCATTCGCCATGGTTTCCAATTCCCGCTCTAGACTCGCAATCCTATCCCTTTTCTCCGTTTTAATTGCTTTGTCCTTCTCCCTATCCTTCTCCTGCTTCTCACTTATCGTCGAAGGCGCCGAGTCCTCCATTTCTTCGAGAGCAGATCCATTTTGCGTGTGTATACTTAGACCATCTCCCGTCGCACAGCTCTTGATCGACGCGTTATCGGCATGTTCTCTCGAGCGGCCCAGAGCGGCGCGGGGAGGGGTCGCGATGGGGGATTTGGCGGGGACTCGGTGTTGGAGGGGGCGGGGTTTCTTTTCGGGATGGGTACTCGTACTGGTAGAATTCATGATATGGTTTGGGAATTTGAATCGAGGGAGGTTAGATATATTAGTGGTAGGATTCTCGACATTTTACTCAGGGAATTGACTTCTTTTGATGGAAGAAATCGAAAGAGGCGAGTGAGGGAATCGGGAGAGTACTTGTTGGGGTGTAATGTGTCTGCCTAGAAAGTGGAATGCGACAGCACCGGCGGCTGATGTTCGGCATTTGGGGGAGGCTCACGAGATGTCACCGTCGCTTTCAGTCAGACTTGTTTGCTTGAAGCATATTATATTATAATAGTCCTCGAGAAGAGTTTTGTTATTCAGAGACAGCGCTTAAGTGGTTCGACTTTAGGCATCCAGATAAGATTGAGTAACTGACTTCTTCTGCTGTCGGCTCCCAGACCTAGTCCTTGTCTCTAGTCTTGTTAACAATAGACTACACCTCACTTCATGGCATTTCATCAACCAGTCTGTCTTGTTATGTATTAAGGTTATGCAATTTTTAGAGACAACCCCTATATAAGTAGCAATAAACGAACACTGACGACCAATTCCGGCTAATTGAAATATAACTAGACACAGGTCATAAAAGAAGATACAAACTCTGTACTCCGTGTACTACGAGTCCTTGAGGAGTGTAGCAATTCGATACTGTGCCTATCCGCTCTCGCATAATACGACGTCGTTTGAGCATGCACAGTACGGTAGAAGAACATACAATGCTTTTTCGTCTGTGTGCATAGTCTCATACCAGAGCAAAGCACAAATCAGCCATACTTTACCCCAGAAACCAAATATCAGGAGATCTGCAATGGAGATCCCCAAATCGAGCAGTGACAAAAGCTGGTTGCCTCGAATCAGCAATGAACACAACTTTTTAGTGGGGCTCATGCACGACATTCGTAGCAGCAATGTACAAGTATTTTCAAATTGCAAACGACGCCAGGAGATCCCCTTGTGATGTTCTCATGTACTTTCATATGTACATTCCGGCCGAGTTTCCAGTTTGCGTATGGCCTACTCTAGACGCCGTAATAATTGCAGGCCAAAACGGGTGCTTGTAACGACAACTTTCTGAACATTTTGTCACACTCACGGAAGCAATAAGATGTGACCCCCACGGCTGTATCCTTCGTCTGACCCCAGCTTGGAAGAAATCGAGGCAAACAAACACAAACAAAAGGCATGCAGAATTGCAGTGGTTAGGACGGCAGTCTCTTGGATTATGCTATGCGAGGCCAGGGAAAACCTGACTGCATCAAGTCAAGACGGGATTCCCAACCGGAACCAACCAAGAAAAAGAAATCCCAAGTTGCACGAAGAAATAAGCATATCGAGAACATGAAGTCCATATCCGATAACCTGCATAAATAAATTCTAGCTTGGTGTGTTTGATGTCGAATCTTCAGCTCACGTGTGAGCGTGTGAATAGCATCACCTCAGGGGTTTGTGCTGATTCATTTGCTACGTCTGGACTACCAATCTGCCAGTAGCTAGCCTGTGAAATACCGGATCAACAATCACCCGAACCCTTGAAAAATCTCTGCCTGATTGTTGATTCTCTGGCTTTGTTTCGTGCTGTAAAATATCGACTTTCGTATGCCTGAATTCCTTGTCTGACACGAATCTTGAGCCAGTCGGCAGAAGTAGGTAAAGGAGGCGCCGAATTTACCGGGAGCTCTTCCCCGGATAAAAATACCACCGCACGCGCATGTGACTAGATTTGGAGGCTCTGCTCACTAGCAAAAATTTCGTGATCGGCCGTCCCCCAGTCGGACTTTCTAGCATGCCCCCAACATTCGTTTCCATCAACCACAATTTTGATTGCAGATTTCCGAAGCCAATCAATTGCCATGGACGTTATTTCGCATGGAGGATCAGGTTGAAACATTTGGAAGAATGGAAATCATCCAACCACTGCCATATAGACCAATGGTAGCCCCAGAAACTGCACTACTTAGACCAGTCTCCTGTTGCTCCTAGTGTCATAGACCAGAGGATTGATTTGACTGAGATTCTCCAAAACAGACAACATCATGTCCACCGCGGAGAATACCATTCTCTATCATCATGCAGCTTACATGCAACGCATCAGATTGAGTGGAATGTCTTCTAGCTCAATGTTGACATGTGTAAAAGCTACCTGCAGCTCGCAGACCTTGACTCGAACCCGCTGGACATAGTGGAGGAGCAGCGAGCGGGATTCTGATCTAGGGCAGAGGAGTTGGGAAAAAGGGTTGTACGGAGTGTGAAGAGCAATATGAAGAATTTGGGAGCCACATTGACCACAATTACCCAACAGCGTCAGGATACAGAAAGAACAGGAGTAAAAACCATTGGTGACAAAAACCTATCCACTAGGAATGGAACAGTCAGGCGTCTGCAGGATTCTGAGCCAAGAAGAATGAGACACCCGTCATATCAGACTCTTGACGCCAGTAAGAGACGAGGAGCCGACCCGACTCCAAGATGATTCCCCTGTCTCTCGCTCTGGAATGGCCTATTCGGTGTCGCTACTCGAGTATTTCGGCTCGTATGGGTTCGTGAATAGGGTACAAAGACTGGAAGGCGGAAGATTGCAGCAATTGTGCAGGAGAAGATGATTCAATGTGGAAGAGCTCGTGTCCCAATGACGAGCCTCTTGGATCCCCGTGCATTTGATAGAGAGGTAGAGACCGGGATCGATGTGATCTGGAAGTTCGATCAAACGAATGAGAGATCTTTCATTGATCAATCAGTCCTCCTCTCGCGGGATCACCTGCCAGATGTTCGGATGCTTGGCCAGTAACCCCCTAGCAGTACCTGGCTGTGGGAAGGTCTCGAGATGGGTCCAAGTCGGCATAAGGGGTGGATTCGTGTTTAGGCCCCATCCAGCTTGCATGATGGTGGTGGTGGAGGTGGTTGTAATCCAGATGGTAGATATATGCATGGGCACTCTCCCCCTCCCCCTCCTCCTCCCCATCCGGATGGATTCTTGAAAAAACACCAATCTATACAAGAACTTGTATTTCATTCTGGTTGCGCAAAACATCCTCTGGTCTCTCAACCCAGAAGTGTTGTGATCTCGAAAGTTGTTGTGTTCCTGTTCCGGCTTTTACTGGCAGCTTTTGGCCGTCCCGTCCACTGTTCCCTCGACCCCGCTGAGCTCCTCCCGGTTGCGTACTGTAGCTCCCCCTCCACTCCCCCTCTTCCACCACAACACCAGAACCAGGAGTGGTGATCAACCGCCTTGAGAGGACCTTTCCCAAGGTTCAGAGCTGACGAGCTGGCCTCAAGCTAAAAGGCCACCAACATCTTTTCCTGTCGCTCGCTAGACGCTCTTTCCTGTCAACATTGGCGTTGCATTGCTATCAGCGTCATCGCCGTCGTACTGCTCGTACGCCAACGATTTCAACTCCGACTAGGACTCGGACGCGGCCTCGAAACTCGAACTCGACATATCTCTCCACCTTGAACTCGGCAATGCCTGAATCTCAAGACAGACTTGATCTCCTATTCAAAAGCGACGTCCGGCCGTGGGAATACGGCAGTGCGCGCCAAACCTACCAACCTGTGCTGGCGCCTCCGCTGTCCCCCTCCTCACACTCAAGCCATCATCCGGCAGCAAGAACCCATCCAACCTCTTCTGCCTCTTCTGTCAGTAGGAGATCCTCTGCCTCCACCACCGCGTCGTCCGTCTTCTCGAACACTGACGCCGAGAGTGCTTCCTCGCGGTCAAGCGCTCCCGAGAATCCGATTCCTTGGGATCTGAATCGTCAACTTACGATGGGCGACTATAATAGCGGCTATGACCTGCCCTGCGAGTTTTCCTTCTTGGGCTGCCAAGTGCAATTTAGACCTGAACTCCACCAGGAATGGATAGCCCACGGCGCTTCCCATTTCACACAATACGCCCCACCTCCGAGACTCGTTTGTACCTTCTGCGATGCAGAATTTGACGTCTCTAGGAATAATGGCGATCGCACAGCGAATTATAGAAGGCGAATGAACCATATTGGAGAACATTTTCGGAATAATCGAACTTTGGATGTAAATCTCCCACCAGCGAGCCACCGACGACCAGACTATCATGTTCTGGATTATATGCGACATAAGGGCCTTATTGATGAGAGGGATTACAAAGATCTAATCCGCTATTCCGAAAGACCACACTGTGAGAATCTTCGGCCTCTCGGGCATGTGTCACCAGAAATGCAAGCAAGAAAATCGAGAGATAATAGGAGACCCCACGACCTGGCTCGGGAAGAGCGACAGAGGAGAAAGGAAAGAGATGGGAAAGGAAAGAGCACTCACCACCACCGGAGCATCTATTAGGTGTCTCAAGTAGTGTCTCGACAATACATTACAGCTTGGCGACTTTCCCTCCCACTTTTCTCGCACTTTTCAGACCGGGACTGCCTCCAAGAGCGGACGATGCGACAAGTGTTATTGAAGAACTGTGTGTGATGTTTTTGTTGGAAAATTTCCATATGTGCACATCTGCTTTTGTGGCTGTTTTGACTTTTAGCCACTGTGGCAAAATTATATTGTCATTTTTCGGCGGGACCGTTTTCTTACGTTGATTTTCTTATGCCTCTTCTTTTATCGTTTCTTTAGGGCGTACGAATTCATGAATGCACGTTGATGTAACGGGCTCCGACAGCCAGGTACTGGGGACCGTTGGTGGAGGTAATGAACGGCTGATATGGCGGTGACGGGTAGCCCCGTTGGTGCCTGAACATCCTTTCTTGGACTTTCCGATGATGGAAATGGGCATTATGAGATCCTTGCTTTTTGATTTGATTTTCGGGCACGAAGTTGGTGCGGATCGATGGTGTTTTGGGTTTCTTTTCTCTCCCCTCCCCCAGATTGCAACTCAGTGGACATTGAGCCATTTATATATTCCCCAAGACGACGGAGTACCTAGTGACTCATAGTTGGTCTTTGCACAATCAATATGAAAACTCGTTTACTTATCTGCATTGTTCATTCCGTACCGCTCCAAAGTGCAAGGCTGCTTCTTCTCACCCACCTGAACCCCCTGCTTATATATTAATTTTCTTTTTTTCCCGACTGGCATATTCATTGTTGTAACACATGGCTGTGTTTGAACCATGTGAGTACCACGTTGATACCTTGGTGTGGTTCCAAATCCCACACTTCGGTGTATAAATCGGGCAATATTGCATATGCAAAACCTCCCAACAACAATACTACTCAAAAAGAATCGCCTTTGATCTATTAACACAACAGCAAGATTGATTTTAAATAGGGGGTGACTTACGCAAGTGTTCAGCTGGGGTCTCATGAATTTGCCACATGGAAGTGGTGGCAACACCTACTTTTACAGCGGGCTCAATGAGACTATTCGATACGATGAAATCACAATCGACCGGCGAATAACCCCGCTACCAGCCATCGGAATCGGCGAACATAAATAGAAGGGATCCGACTTAATCATTGGCTCTGGTATCAATGTGTTCCCCAATCGGGTAGGAGATCATTCTTCGTCGTGCACAGCCTCACTCACTTGCTTTACCCGAGCCATGTCTCCCGCTTTCACTTGACCACTGCCTCCTTACCAAACACAAGAACTTCGGATATGAAAAAATATTTGAAAGGGGTATTGGAAAATCCACAAGGCGCCCACCTCCCTTATATATGGAAAAAGCAACAAAGCGGATGTGGACTATCGCATGAGGGGAAGGCGTGCGAAATGTAGTAAGCCTCGTCGCCTTGTTCTCGCCTCACTATCTGAAGGTATCGTGGCCGTGGTCCGCACCTACGGAACTGCGGAACCCCAAGTGGACATTTTCGGCTATTCCCTGTCCCTCTCTATCCCGAATACTCTGTTGGATATAGATATGACTATTTTTTGCTTTTGGGAATTGGGGAGTAGGGATTAGGCGTTATGCAATCAGCATGGACCTTGAGGAATCACGTTCATGAGTAGGTTGGCCGGACTTTTTTTTTGAAGAATGGCTTTCCTTGTTGGAGGTTATTAGTGAATATATATTTCTTTTCCTTCTGGATATACTTTCTGAGTTCTACTAAACGGATATAATATAATACCTACTATACCATAACATCATTACCTTCCTCCTAACCTTTTCCATCTGAGCCCAACCATCCTCTGCTCCCCCCACAAATTCCCATCTCAGGAAAAGACCACTAATTACAGACACCCCCTCCATTCTCTCCCTACTCAAGTCACTAATGAAACTCGGCCTCCACCCTCCCATACCGAAACCCATCAACCTTCAACTCAAACGCCAGTCCCGCACTCTCAACCACCATCTCAAGGGTGAAATCGAGGTTATCGAATTCCACTCCTCTCGTGGTGGTCAGACGGGTGAAGAGGGATTTGGGGACGGCGCCGAGGTCGGTGGTGAGGGTGCAGACGTTTACGAGGTCGCGAGTGTAGGCAGAGGGGGGGTCGCCGTCGGCGTCAGATGCGATGAGGTCGTCCGAGACTATGAGGGACTGGCCTGGTCTTTGGGGAAAGGTTAGCTGGGCGATAGGAGAGGAGGATGGGGAAAAAGGTACCTGAAGTTCCGAGTGTAGTGGAAACTAACTGGTGTAGCGGCACTTAGTGCCTCACCCTCTATTCTGATATTAGCGAGATTCAAATAAGAAAAGGGGAGGAGAGAAACGTACTAGCAATGTGCCACTGCATCCTATCGGAAACCATCCACCTCTCCCACAAGGGACTCCAATACCTCTCACTAACCTGATGTTTATCCTCGTCATAAACCGTCGCATACGAAGTCCCGTAATGCATCCTTGCCTTCCTCGAAACAACCATGCTCCCCTCCAAACCTCTCAACACCGCACCCCTCACAACTGCTGTCCATGCATTGACAGGCTGCATCACTTCAACACTCCCATTCTGGATGAGCGCCGTGGCTTGCGCATGCGTTGGTCTCTCGCTGTATGGTGGTGGAGCCGCGGTGTTGAAATGTGATTTCAGCCGGTTGTAGAGGTAATTACTTTGTCCAAAGCCACCCACTAGCACTATCCCCGAGACGATCCCGCCTTTTTGACGGATGCCATCAACCTGTCCTTGAACAAGATCACAAACTTCCTTCACAACCGGCTCGAAGATTTCCTTGATCTGCGCCGCGGTCATGACAAGGAATCCACAATCCAGACCTGCTTCCTCGTCGTCTGGCAACCCAGGGAATGGGACGTTAACTTCCGCATGTTCTTCCTCGTTGAAATTCCGTTTCACGAATTCTTCCCAGTAGCGTAGACCCATTTGCCAACACTTCCCCTTCTTAAGTTTCATCTCATCGAATCTCTCGGCGCCGATACGCGTGCGAACATGTTCCTCAAACCTATAGTTTAGGAACGCACTCCCGCACAATCCTCCTGTGCCAACAGCCGACTCTTCCACTCGCAAAGGTTTGAGAGAAATAATTTTATAGGCGATTAAATCTACCGTTCCACCCCCGGCGTCACAAACCACAAAATTATCCCCCGCACACAGATGATTCGGCTGGATAGCTTTCAGGGTGTACACCGCTGCAGCCTCGGGCTCACTAATCATCTGGATATCAGATTTCGCGCCCATACCCGCTCGCTCGGCTGCTTGGAGCGTCGTATTTTTGGCGGCATCTGACCACACTGCCGGGCAGGTAAGCACGAACTCGACTTTCGTACTACTCATGAAGCTCTCTCCATATCGTCTGGTAAGCGTCTCCATGGTATGGTCGTATACTTGTGTCAGGTAGTCCGAGACGGCGTCTACGACGTTTTTGTTGAATTTCTTTAGTTGTGCTGCTGTCTCGAGGGGCGAAACGTAAAAGGGGAGTTTTTGGGAGCGGTCGAGGAAGAGTTTGATGCAGCGTAACCGAGACTCTTCGGGGCGGAATTGGAAGCCCCATTTTATGGTTGGTGTTGTTGAGGAAGAGGATGTGTCGTAGGAGATTTCTGTTGGCACCTTGTCGGATGTTATGCCATTTCCTCCTGGCCAGGTTTTGATGATTTCTACATCGTCGGGTGTGGAGGTGTAGACTGCTGCTACACTGGGTTTGGTTGTTAGCTTCGGATGTAGATGTTGTGAGAATCAGAGAATTGAAAACTGATTTCTAGAATGAAAGGTAGGCAGAAAGTATGAGTAGATTGACTCATCGGAATAGTTCTCATGAAGGGAGATACTAGCAAGCAAAGACACGGGTGTAGCGTTCTTTGATACAGAGTCCAACCTTTATTGAGCGTTGTACTTGAACGTCAAGGTAGAATCAAGGTTCTAAATTCCTGATACACCAAACCTAATTGGAATAGCAAAATCGAAAGCTTTTGCACGTGCCAAAACAAGAACACAAAATTGTGTAGCTTGAACGTAGCATTACCAAGGGGGAAAAGAGAGGAGGGGAAAGGGGCAAAGCTCGAAGGAAGGACCTGTAAGCCAATCCTCGTGCTAGCACTTCCATGTTCCAAGGCAACAAAACAACTGAAACAGGAATCCAAAAATGACATACCCAGAATAGGTAGTCCCAAAATCCAGCCCAACAATCAACCTATCATTCAAAGGAGCAGGTTCCCGTATCGGACCCGAGATAGCTTCCGTGGAAGAGGTAGGTGTATAATTGGTAAAGTGCTTCCTGCTCTCGTCATTCCGTCGGCTAGCCGAACGTATAGGGAGATCAAGATTCATCTTGAAAGGCAGGCAACTGAAACTTCCACGGCCATGCGTGTGAAATTGGACCCTTCTCGCCCCCTAACGCATTCACGGTAGACCTGGAACCTGGGTTTGCCTCCCTGTCCTCAATTCGAGGTTTGTGATATCGGGAGTTGTATATTGTGCTTGCCGGAATAACATATAACAGACGCTCGCTTGGATTGAGAAATTCAAAAAGAGAATTGCTCCATCAGCAAATAATTCCGGCAGCGTTCTTTGAGAAACACAACGGCCACTCTTGATGCCTACTACATCCGCAGAGTATAGAAAGACACACCCAACTTCACCCCCTCAATTGAAGGAAACAATATACACGGAATAGGAAGAGCAGGAAAAACAGAAGGAACGCTGGGGGAATTGTGGTTTCTTAGGTAGAAAGTAAGCAGGTGGAGACGGGGCTGAGGTTGTGTGTTGTATTGGATAGTGGTGGTGCATGCAGGAACGTCAGTCAACCCATTAAATGGGAGCCTGCGGAGATGCTGTAGGCAGCACTATTTGGCTGTGACGCCAGTTCGAGGGATTGTCCGTGGGGAGAGATGAGGCCAAGACGAGGGGTATAGGAGAGGCCGTGTGAGTTACGACGTCGAGAGTGAGATTTGAAGTAAGTGAAGGGCGAGAAAATCTGGTCTGTCGAGAGTAGTGAGCAAGTCTTTGGAGTGACGACGTCGAGCGAGGTGGTCTTGGTGTTGCCCTGCTGACATTGACATGGATGTTGGGATTGGAGGGGCTGTGTTGCTCCACCACCAAGCAGCAATCGCGGTTCTATAAGGCTGAAAGAACTTTATCTTGCAACGACTAACCCGACATCCGAATTGACTTGCTTACTGGTTCATCTGATAAATCTCTGATACTACGCTATGTGGGCATTTGGGAATCAATCTTTATGAGCTCTCTAGTCTCCAAATGCTAGAATTGCAACTGACGGAAAAAATATCACATTTGGCCGAATTCATGAATACTCCTCAACTCCTCATATTCTTTCCAGGCAAGCATTTCTCAATAGCACTCGATCGAGAGACAATCCTCTTACTTTTTCTCTGAGAGCTCCGTTCAATATCGTTCAAAAAGGCTACTGGTAGCCCACTATGTAAGAAACGTTTGGAAACTATTTTGATGTTTGATCAGAATCTAATACTGCTTAGTACCCCTGTCATGAATCCCCTACGTAGAGACATGGCCATGGAGACAGAAACACAACCAGGAATGACACTTTGGGCTTGTGGCTTCAATGCTTTCTCTCAACTAACAGAGAAGGAGCTGGGTTCTGAAGAAGAGAAACTGGGCCAAGAAGATCTCAGAAAATGGTCGCGAATATTTACCTCAAAAGACATTGACTTTTTCTATGGGGACTTTTCTAGTACTTCATGTGAGTTGTGGTTTATTTTTCCTGTTGGATTTATGATTTGGTTGATTACCAACCTGGAAGTGCTCCGAATGATATCCTCCCCCCACAGCAGTATCAAGATTTCTCGTCTTTTTGGGTGACGGGTCCAATGGGTTTCCAGACCATCCAGTCTCGATTGGGTAGTAAAATTTGAAGATATAGTGAATTCATCTGTCAACTATGTTTCTCTTTTCCACCCTTGAACAGATACGGACAACCGAGTTCTCCAGTCTTAAGAACACAAACCCGATCCTAGATGTCATCTCTCACCTTCCCAGCTCATTTCATTTTCCCAAAACCCCCATCTTCAAACAACCTCCCAATCTTCTCCCAAAAGAAAACCAATTATTCAACCCCCAACTAACAACAAACCACAGTCTTCACCTCCACCTCATCCACGCTCGAACACCAATATCTCGGCCTCCCCACCCCCCAAAACAAAGCCCGAGATACCGTCCACATCGACCACAGCACCCAATTACACAACCCACAACACCTACCATTCCCCAGCCCGTCCCCCAAACCACGCCAACTAGCAACCATCTCCTCCGGAGCCCTCGCCCTCATCCCCTCCTTCAACCAAAAAGCAATCTGGATATACAACAACCCTATCCCCTCCCAACCCCCAACATCTCGATTCGCCTTCCCCACAGCCGTGACATCCATCGTCGGCAACCTGGCCGCCTTTCATGTTCTGACGGAGGATGGGGTAGTCTACAGTCTAGGGGATGCTCGATTCCCCGCTTTACTAGGACGAGAGGTAATAGAGTCGAGACCGGCATCAAACCCCTTTGAAATACCCGATTTGATCGATCTCCCCACTGGCCCAATAACGAAAATCGCCTCTGGGGGGACATTGACAGCTGCCATCACCGCCGGGAATGACCTTTATATCTGGGGTCAGGTTCCATTATCCGCTCTCAACTCTAGCTCTGGATACTTCCTCCCTTTCTTTGATCATGGGGATGGAGAGATGGAACATGTAGGTGAAGGTGTTATATCGGTGGATATCTATGGGTTGGATGTGATTGATGTTGCGGTTGGGAGGGACTATATGCTTGCTGTGACTACGGATGAAGAAGGGGATGAGAGGAAGGTTTGGGGGATTGGGTCTAATGCCCATGGTCAGTTGGGGCTGGGTGATGTGGAGGGTGTTAGAGAGTGGGTTGAAATGAGTCTCAAGGGGTTAGGGAGAGGGGTTATCAAGGGGGTTTGGACGGGGTATGAGAACTCGTTTTTGGTGGTCGGTGATGGACAAAGGGAAAATAACTCCTAAATGGCTGACATGGCCCTAGATGGATAGTAAATTCTGGCTAACGGATAGGCGGGAATTCAAATGAGGGAGAATATCCAAAGGGAACAAATGCATGCTAGTGAAATTCGCAATGAAAAGTAGACAAGAGGCAACATTAAACTCTTTGGTATCTTGTCTCATCCATTTTGTCGTCTTCCAGGTTGTGATCATCTATAATACAGGTGCCCCAAACCATCAAATGCAAGACCAGAAGATACGCACTCATAGATTCGTTAAGTAATCCTCAATCTCCTGGGGACTCAACTTTCTGAATCTTGGTCCTTGAGCACCCTCAACCCCTTCAACGCCAAGTAGATGATGAGCTGGTGGGCCAACAATTCCTGAATTTTTGTTAGTCTGGGGTAGAAATTACACAGATGTTGACGTACCAATCTCAACAGTCTCTCCATTCATCTCTCCCTCGATTGTCTCCTTCAGGGTCAACAATGCAATGTGTACAGCATCTTCCAACTCAAGACCCTCAGTGTATCTCTTTTCCAAGAATGTCTTTGCCGACGTAGCACTTTTGCCGATAGCGGTGGCTTTCCATGGGAAATAACTACCACTTGGATCAACCTGATATAACATAGGTCCACCCTTCAAGATACCACCAGTCTTTCCAGATGGCTTCTTCTCGTCATCAGGCAGAGTGTCTGTAGTGGCAGCGTCCTCGGACTCCGGCTCAATACCCTCATCCCAACCTGCAATCAACAGACTGACACCATAGGGTCTGACACCACCAGATTGAGTTGCTTCCTGCATGACTCTGGCAACATCCTGCACTAATATTCTTGTTGGGGGATATTCGTTATAGATTCGCTTGTATCCGGTATGTGAGACTTTGCGGGCTTTGTCGACCAGTACTCGGTAGTCGGGGCCCATGCCTGAGTATACCATGCCAATGTTTGGTGTGATATGGCTGACTTTTGAAAGGGAAGGAGGATCGATCAAGGGCGACGATGATTTCTTTTCGGTTGCAAGGACAATGCCGTTTGTAGCTTTGCAACAATGTCAGAATTTGTATAGAAAAGAGATCATCTGCCAAAATATAAAGCATACCTTTGATTCCCAATGCTGTGACACCTTGATTGACCGCGTTTAATGCATATTCTGAAGCATCACCATTAGCACCCAGGACTTATTGCATTGTCGGTATATAAGTGGAAGCGCGAGGCTTCGCAGGGTGTATTTAGAGCTCCACGAACCTATTTGCACCAACTTCCCGCTGTGTGAAATTAGCCATGAACCGAATTGGGCCACGGAAATAGCTTGATCCGCGCAATGGGAAGCTCGAGAGGGTTTAAGCTTACCTTGGGGAGAAGGTGGTCAAGGAGAAGGAATATCTGTCCGCCATTTTGCTAGACTATCGTGAATTTCGTTTCGAGAGTGCGCAAGAGCTGGGAGAATCTCAAATCAGGCCGATGGAGGAGGTGACCGGAGGACGTCGTGGGATGGAGTGGTCTTGAGTTGTTGTCAAGCTATCCCTACGGTAGCTACCACCTTACCTAGGTATTCGCGTCCAGAGGTGCCTGTCTGCCTGTCTGTCTGTGCCTGATTCTCAAGGCTGAAATAAGGCATCAGTTCCAGCCGGCCACCATGCCCAAAACAGTTAGCGCCCTTGGAGCCCTTGGCCCCCAAACTGCCGTCTGCCCTTCAAGGTCGAGTCCAGATCTCGACCTCTCCCTCTCTTCTCTTTCTTCTCTACAGCACCAGCAAAGAAAATGGGCAAACCACGCAAGCCACTTCCACGGATGCGCTGTTTGCGACGCCTCCCTTCCGCTCCCTTTCTTGCCTTGTCCCTTTATTACTACCAGACTAATCAATGACTTGAAGCTAATCGGACAATACAGGTCAGGCGATAGCATGAGCATCCAAACTAACCAACAACGAAATTTTCTCCAGTAATTGTACCGAACCTCCTTCTATCCTAGACTTCTAAGAGCGATACTGTATCGATATGGCAAACCCAAAGGCTGGACCACCGAAGGGACCACCGAAAGTGGGAGACGATGCTACTGCCTACGGGTTATCCAATTCGGTTCTGCAGAATATGCCTTGACGACGTGATACCACGATTCCGTTGGGTTCCTACAGGTCTCTCCAAGTACATCTATTCATCCACAATTCAGTGGGTTGATTACGATGGTGAGAATGCTCGACCTCGTCGCCTGTTTCGACCATGACGCTGCATAGGTGGCTTAAGATTCGTTCATTATAGTTGTTTGGATGGGTGGAGAAATCACCCAAATAATATCGGGGGCACTAATTATTTCAGATGCCATGAATGCGGATACGAATATCGCAAGGCACGTATGTTGTGGGGCAACTTCATCAAAGGCAAAGCCATCCAACTTTCCATCGTAGCGTTGATCATGACCGGTTTGATCTGTGCGATGGGGTTCTTTGCAAGCCCGGTCATCAATCAATGGCTTGAACCCCGGGACCTTGAGAAATTGATTGGGTCTGACAGCTCATCACAAGTGAAAGCATTGACTGGAACACCAGTGGAACAAAATCTAGCAGAAAGCAGTTCTCTAGTATTGCATTTTATTAAAGGATTTGCTTCTTTGGGGGTCCTTGGGTTCCTTCGAGCGATCATGTGGCTGTCGCCCTTTCCCTGGTTCAATTTACGTGCCGATGCCCTCGCGGGGGGACGACAACGCCGCGTTCGAAACTCGACGACTTTCCAATTGTATTTGGTATTGGTCGCAGGGTGGTTCGCTATCTTGCAGGTAAGTTAGATTCCCACTCATATGTAGGGAAATCTACTGACTATTTAGCCCACATATGTCTTCGTCAGAGATCGGACCCAAGAAAGACTTGAAATGCTCAGTGACAAAATCATCGACGTCCAAGGATATGATAATCCGTACGAAGGGTCATACGACTAGGGTAATCCATTTTATTATATGGATCTAAAGCTATGTTAGGACTACATAATAATCTCCTCCCTCTTAGCATTTCTCTTTTCCGAATTGCACACTCTTAAGTTGCCACGAAGATTCTCTCTCTATGGCGTGTCAACTAGTCTGTGTGCAAATATTTACCGCTTGCTGGAGCCTCGAAATATGGGCGTCTTGTTCTAATTTCAAGAAGGGTGGCCGCTCGCTCAATCAATACTTTTGTCGCCATCCAGTATTACTTGACGGTTTTCCTGATACTTGTTCCTCTACTCGCTCGAGTTTTGCGCTTCCACAGGACTTGGAAGACAATTGTTGTTGATACATTTCCTCAACGAGAGCCCAGTTGAATTATCTTAGAAGTCTCGGAAGATTTGAAAGGAAAGCTACGATTTGGAAAGAGCCCTGTGCCCTTGGGTTGATCATTGATCGTCTCGGATGTTGTTTCGTCTTTGCAGCTAGTGAGATCCTCACTTTATTGATAATTTGCAAGTCGAAGGTTAGTCAATTCCAATTGTATCCCCTCATATTCCCTCCCCAATAGCATATGATGAACGATCAAAGCTTTTTAACCCTTAATGGAGATCTGCTCCTTGAAGACCAAAAAATACAACTCTAATTTTTTCCTGATTGCTATTTTATTGGACACTTGTTTGAGAACACTTTTTCTTCTTGATCATTTGCTAATATTCTCCTGTAGGACATATTCTTGTGATCTCTTTTGGGCAGGATGATATTATGCGGCTTATTTAGATAGATTGGTTTAATTGATTAATAATTAGATACTGTGAATCTTGATATCTTTTTGTGATTGGGGTTTTAGTGGGTTTTAAAGGGTGTAGTAATTCGCAATACAGCATAGCCAGCGAATGCCCAAGAAGTACTTGTAGTATCTAGTAAACTGACATCTCTATTAGGGAGATGCTCCTAATCATAATGGCTGGGCGAATTCAAGAAAATGAACGTGATGTGGCGGTGCATGTGGCGTTGTCACTATGACGCAACGTGTGTCTGTTGTGGAATCAACCTCCTCTCAAGTTTGGCAGCTCATTACACAAATATCCAGATAGTTCATAACTACACCTCCGTTCCTTCATATTCAGCCTTCAGTCTTCAGCCTTCATCCTTCTGTGAGAACCAAATACAGAAGAAATTCCTAATCATGACTGGTACAGATTATTGTAAGTCTTTTGACCCCGCCTTCGCCTTCATCTCAACTTTACTTAACCAGATATACAGATGTTGTCCTTGGGGTTGCACCCTCTGCGACAGCAACCCAAGTTAGAGCTGCATACAAGAAGTAAGTGCTCTTTTTCATTGCCCTCCTTCGAGGCACTCTCCGACACCCAAATCCAACCATCTTTTTAGCAATTAACATAATATCCCTCACAGAGCAGCTCTTAGAACACACCCTGATCGCGTCCCCTCAGACTCCCCCGAACGAGCAGAGCGAACCCGCAAATTCCAAATCATAAACGACGCCTATTACACTCTCTCTGACCCCACCAGACGCAAAGAATACGACTCCGCGCGACAAGCCCACGGTTTCGGATTCGGCTCTGGCGCCTCCACCGCATCCACCGCCTTCGACTCGGACGAAGACATCCCCATTCCCGATCCGGAACCCTCTGTCCCAGGCGGCTTCCCCTGGTCCTCCTTCGGCTTCTCGTCGAAAGCCAAGAACAAGGCCGAAGAGGAGAAGTTCGAGCGCGAGCAATTCGGGGATGTATTTGAGGAGATGTTGTGGGAGGAGGGGATGGCTGAGAATGGAGGGAAGCCTACGGGGTTGTTTTGGAGTGTGGTGGGCGGGTTGAGTGGTGGTGCGATGGGGTTTATTGTTGCAAATTTTCCAGGGATGGTTGCTGGTGCGGTTGCGGGCAATAGACTGGGGAGTGTGAGGGATGCGAAGGGGAAGAGTGTTTATGCTGTTTTTCAGGAGTTGCCGCAGGCGGATAAGGCGAGGCTTTTGAGTCAGCTTGCGCAGAAGGTTTTTAGTCATGCTGTTGGGGCTAGCTAGAGGAGAGTCAATGAGGAAATGTGGAAGGCGTTTGGATTTGGGAGTTGATGAAGGATTTGGGACACAGGACGTGATATCAAGATGTTATGGGATCCAGTTCTTAGCTATTCTCGAGTACGTAGTTAGATATCCAATAAATGAAATTTGCAGCAGGATATCAGGGTGTCTGCGTGGGTGGTTTTCGTCTCATACGTCAAGATTGGATCTTCTCCTCGTTGGTACCGTAAGGATTGTCATATTAACTCAGTAACAATAATGAAGAATCCTTGGTGCTTTTATCATCGGTCTGTTTGTATTCACAGGCCATTTCTTCTAGTACAAACTCATCTCAACTCTCCTTTCCATCTTTCAAAAGCCAAGCATCAATAGGCAAGGCTTCTCAGAACCTACCGACTCGGTGCAATTAGTGCATTCTGAGTCCATTTCCGCCTTGGATGTAACCAAGACATCCACAAGATAAAACCAATCAACACGTACAAAAGTACTCGCTCAAGGGCAGTCCTCTGGTCAAGTGCGATGTGCGAAATAGCCTCGCTAGCGAGTAGCGTTTGTTTACCCCAGGCTCTGCTTTGGGAGAGCGCCAGAAGTTAGGCGAGGCAAGTAGCTATAGGCCAAATTGAATACTTGAACTAAACGAATATGTATCTTGAAGTCAAGGAGGAGTTTTGGGGGAGAGATTCTTATTTGGATAGGTAGAAAATTGAGTAATTGTAATTTTGTTGGAAGGAAATAATGGAGCTGGGACTTTTCAGACTTGCTGGGATGCAGGGGTTGGTGGATGGGTATATATTCAGAGCCAAAGCTTTGAATTCACTCTGGGCGAGAATGGCATTCTATAAAATTACAGGATTAGATGGGGTGTCAATATACTGCTGGACTTCTATGCTACTTGGTTCAAAGTTGTGTTCATGAGAGTGTTCTGTTTGTTAGATTACTTCTTAAATCCGGAATTCGTATTTGAACAGGTGTGGTGGCACTTTGGTATCACCAGTAGTCAGTCCTCTTTGTTAATCGCTATCCCTTAGCTGCCAAACCTAATTAAGACGTTCTCCCTGCCACCTCCCAGGCCTTTATGGAGTAAACCCTCTGTGAACTCGGTGGCAGAGATTCTCGTACACGTACGAAAATTTCGTACACAGGCCTAATTAGGTAGTTAAAAGTGGAGATCTAAGTACTATAAAGTAGACGTCTCCACTTTTCGGATTTTATACTTTATTATCCCCTGCTAAGCGAAAACAGAGGGCATTTTACTTCGAAGTAGAAGAGAATATTAAACTTTTAGGAACCGACACAGCCTATAATTAGCTTTTAAGAGAGTTTTAGCGTAACCCGAGCTTTCCGTCAGCTATCTGTCTATATTAGAGGGCCTGTCCCCCTCCCTTTACCCCTGTAAACTACCTATAAGTACTTAGCCGTTTCTACCTATCCCTCCCCCTCTGTCCCTTCCCCTCTGTCCCTCTGTCCCTCCTTGTAAGTACTTTCCTACTTTGCTGTCCTGTAAGTCTCTACTTCTATTATACCCCTATTACCGCCCGCCCTTTCCTGTAAACAAGTAAACATATAAACGCGCAAACAAGTAAATAGAGAACTACGTCTTTGGTATAATATTTAAGGTTTTGCGCCCACCGTTGGTGTACGAAAATATGCGCGCTAGGGATGGTTTTGTACCCCGGGACGGCCCGCGGCGGGTGTCAGATATTTTCGTACACATCTGGCCTCGATTTCCCAGAGGGAAAGGGTGTAAAAACAAACTTGCTTTCTATTACCGGTAGTACATTTCCACTTACCATTTTAATTTCAACACTCTATGTCAGCTATCTACACACAAAACCTTTTTTCTTTCCCTGGATCCAACGCTAATACTTTCTTTACAACACCAGAGAAAGGCCTAAGCGAAGTGAAAACCAGGGCACCGCATCCAGAATGTGCATATAATTTCTGATAGTTTTGGTGCGTATTGGACCTTTGGCACCAATCTCTCTGTAATAACTTCTCCTCAAGGGGGGAGGGGTCGTTAGTCAATTTACAAATCGAATTCTGCGAACCAGCCAGGTCCTAGGAAGTCCACAATAACACCCCAATATAAGCAATCCACCACTTTTACTTATAGTCCGCTCAATCATCTCAGTCTCCATTTAGCACCATAGAAACCCTCAACAAAAATCACAGAAAAAATGCCCTTTGTTCACGGAAAGCCAAACCTTCTTTCGCCTTGGCGTGAAAATAGTCGGGGCGGGGACGTATCAGATACACAGTTGAGTGACAAAAAGAGCTTCTGTCTTGAAAAAGGTGGATATTGGTAATGAAGCTCATGGGTTTCATGATATTCTAGAATGCTTCTTACGGCTAAATGATTTTTCTACTGCGGATCATTTTTCATAATGCGAAGATGTGGAAATTAGTAGTTATCCTTGAGATAGATACTTGATCTAACAACATTCGGCTCCATGCAACGTACAAAAGAGAGCCGCTGTCCAAATTTTGCTATCAGCTTTCTGAGAAAGCTACAAAATTAAGAGTGTATGTGCTTAGTATCCAACCGTTCTGAAAAGTCTCGCATGAATGATTAAAGGAGCCTAGTACACATTTTTCAATTCTGTCTAGTCTCGTCACAAATAAACAGAAGTTTGATTAGGTAGGAGAAGGCGGTTCTGTTTGTGCCTGTAAAAATACCGAGTGCGAGTTCCGCAATTTAAATAGTAGCGCATATGAAAGTAAGTTGTTTTCTACTATATCACTAGCTTGTATTCCAGTCCCTTGTCTTCCATACATACAAATCTGCGAGGTGGTAGTACTGTAGGAACTCAACCTAGAAATATGGAATTTCGGCAAAGTGAGTGGAATCAAGAGCGTATGCAGAGTACTAAAATACTAGATACGAGTCCTGGATATGAAATAATCTATATGCCACTCCAAAAGCTAACCATGTGCTATATCCCCGCTATTACAACATAAGCCGACGAGACTTGAATGTAGGGAAATTAAAATCAACGATCGCCAAATGGAACTCGATTCCATGGAATTATGGAATTCCATTCCAAAAGGAATATTCTAGAGCACCTTATATATAGAATAGAATATTCTATCGAATAGGCTCTGGAATTCTATGGAATTCTGGAATTCCAGATTAGCTTTTGACTAATTAGAAGTCAGGAATTATAGGGAATTAAAGTAAAGATTACTCGATTTCGTACTATATAATATAGTTTATTCTAATTTCGCTTAGCCTCTTCGTTACTTCCTCTAACATCTCTTTAGGAGTCGTATATAGACAAGCTATATCACGATAATTATTTATAGTATTAGAATCTATAATAGTAAGCACATCTTCCTACTAGTCTATCGCATATACATATATATCAGTCTTTAATATAATGAAGACTAGTAATATTCCTAATATATACTAACCCAGCCGAATCTAGACTTCCTATTAGTCAATTGGACCGGGCGAACCCTTTTCCGGTCATGTGACTTAGTTCCATGGAATTCTAGAGGAATAGGGGGTATAGAATGGAATGATTCTAGAATTATTCTTAATAGAATAGAATATTCCATACCCCCCCTCTGGAATAGAATGGAATTCCAGTTGCCGATCGTTGATTAAAATAAAGTTGCGAATATGATATTTCATGGGTTATCCTGGATGCATGGAAGGAAAATACTCGAGTCCTAGTACTTCGGGACTAATGCTTGTGTTAAACTTTTGAATACTTAGTACTGCTACTATTAAATTGTTGTTTGATTGGTGCAAACTTCAATGTATTCACCAAGTACGGAGTAAGTGAGTCACTTGGCTTCACCTCAAGTAGAGATCTCGTCTTGTGGTGAATAAAATACTAGACGTAAAACACAAATCCTGCAATTTCCAACCAAGTACTCCCCAAAGAGAAATAATAGCACTCGAGAACTCACTCTTTTACAATCCAACAATCTAACATGCATCCATCAACAACCCGATATACCCTACGGCTCCAAAATCCAAACAATATTTTCATGACACAACATTCACATCAAACAATCACCTGCAGAGCATAACACAGGATAGTATTACTCAATCACACATCTTTCATCCCAGTAGGAGCACGGGAGTCCACAACACTATGGACCCCCGGTCTATAAGGTATAGACTCCCGTCTATAGGTTATAGACTCCCGCATACTCTATAGTACCCCGGGGGGAACTTTAGAAATATAAATTTTTGAAAAATCTTTAAACTCTCTTAGAATACTAAGAATACTTATTTATATATACCCTCGATGTATTATAGCTTTTCTAGTACTATAGCGTTAGCTATAAATAATTTTATTCTAGTTATCTCTTAAAAATCCCCCCTTCAAACTCCCTTTATAAGAAAAAAGTCGAATTTTTAACTTTCTTGCTTAGTATTTAGGTAGTACCTAGAACCTAGTCGGAGCAGTCGGAATAATACCTAGGCGCGCTACAGGCCGACTATCGGTAACCTTGCTAGGATACTCTTACTATCGTTTCAAGCTAAATTACGTAACTATACGTACCGGCTATATATGTCTGTCTATCTGTCTATCGGTCGGTCGTCTATCTATACTCGTAAGTCTCCCTCCCTCTAGTCCCTCCCTCTAGTCCTAGGTAGGTACTATCTCCCTACTCTCTCTCCCTCTACCTATAAGTCCTATTTATTCTATATATACCCCCTATACCCCCTATACACCCTGTAGGCCCCTCTAGGTAAGTATGTAAATTTTCATTCTTTTCGTAGTAGTAATAGCCGGTTCTGTCCCTCCTCTATATAAAGCGATAGGCAAAGGAGTGACAGAACCGGCTCGTAGATAGAGAATTATAGAGTATAGGGGGTATTTAAAACTAGCCTTAACTAGGTCAAAAACAGCAAGATTTGACCCCCGTCATAGACTACATGGTTATAGACTACCGTAGTCTATACGTGATAGACTACGCTCCCACTGGGCATTAACTCTCGGATCCCATCCCACCACCAAACACGCATCTTCCCCAGTGGGAGCGGGGCACCTAAACCAGGTGCCCCCAAAAACCTGATTTAGGTGCCCCCGCTTTACGCCCGGCTATACTACAGGGGTACCTGATTCCTGTACAAAATGGCTAAAAAACACCTCAATTAGGTGCCCCTATATAAGAGTACTACTAAAAAATCTCCCTTAA